TTAATCCTTATAATTTCCATGATAATAGACCCAGATCAGGGTTTTGTTGGCAGGGGTGGGTAGGTGGGGCAAGATCTCCTTGGGATCGTGGGAACAAGAGTAACTGCAGAGTTCTGAACCAGGAGCTGGCGGTGGGGGAGCAGCAAGTCTAAGATACTTGAAAGGGGTGCCTTGCCTCCTTTCATCTTGGGGCACCTCTCCTGGCTCTCTCGTTCTCTTTGTTTAATATGTGGTGTCATGTCAAGATGAGGAACAGAAAGCTTTTGGAGGAATTTAGAAAGTGAGGAGATAGCCAGTGACTGGACTTCCAAGAACGTGGCAGAGAATCAAGAAATAAAACACTGGAGAAACTTTGGATGTGATTATAAAGTAGACTAATTTAACAAAGATATAGACATAGCCTAAAGCATATAAATGAGGGAGGCTATCATTATCCCAATAACACTACTGGATGTCTCCTTGGGAATCCTCAGATGTGGTTTAAAGATTAGGATTTTTAAAGTATCTCACTGAATTTTAGTCACAGGCCTTATTTTTAACGAAAATACCTGTCAGCAAATTTGATCACCCTCCGTACTCACCAGCATCATTTCTAAATGTCTTTTTGCAGTTAAAAATAGAAACAAATCTTCCATCAAAGGATGATTGGGGACCAGTGAGACTGTTAAGAGGTTCTTCAATTATTTCAACCAAAGAAGGTCTATTTCCTGGACTTGGGCAGCATATTTGGCAAAAGGACATCACTGAAAGAATGCATACCATTCTGCATGAAACAAGACTCACTTGGAGGCAAATGTTCAGTTTGTCCAGAAAGGGTGTGGATTTTGTTTGTTCGGGGATTGGGGGTGGGTTGGAGAGGGATGCAGAGGACAAGAATCAAAATCTTTTAGGGTTACAATATACAATAGGTATAGTGTATTTTGTAGACACCCCCTTTTCTATCATCACAGTGGACCACCTGTAACATTCTGGATAGTTTTTAGTTGGTAGACACGTAAGTTAACTATCTTTAGTTGTAACATAAACTATTTTTGACAATAAGATAAAACATTTGCAAGAGGTTGCAATGTACATTATTCTCAAGGAAGATGGCCTCACTGGTCCTAATTTTCACCAAATAGAACTCAATCCCTTTGAAAATAAGTGCTCTATGCCTCTTTGTAAACAGAGGTATATAATTTTGAATTTCAACTGCTTGGAGAATTTTCCATGGGTTACTCACATCTGTGAGCAAAGGCACACAAGCTTTTGTTCTAGACTATCTTTCCAAAGATATTTGTATAGTGAGTGGACTTGGAAGACAGAATGTCTCCCTCCCAGGAAGACTGCAAGTTTGTTTGCTGTTCAGGATAATGAAGATTGAACAGGTTTGTCTGTAGACCCTCTAAAAGATTAGGTTTCTCAAGCTCTGAGTTTCTCAGCTGTGATACAAACCCACTGCATGTGCAGCATCCACCCAGCCACTCCACATCACCCCTCGGAGGACGAGAGGAGCAGCTGGGGAACGTGAAGAACCTGGGGTGCCTCTGATCTGAAACCCTCCTGTCTTCTGCCAGCATCCATGACACCGACCCATCATAACTGACGTCAACCATGCGAAAAAACTAAATTTTGTAAAGAAATTTGTGTCCTACCTGACTGCTCACCTCCCTCCCTCAAGCAATCTAATACAATTCCAGCACAATGAATTAATATGGACAGCCTTCTAAAGTTTGTTGCAAAGGGACTTAATGTTTTCAGCCAGAAAACCTAGAAGTAAGTAAATTTAATGAATTAAAGAACATTTGTACGAAAGACCAAGGTTAGGGAGGAATACAAAAGATTAAAGGGAAAGGAGGTACTGCTAGAAGGTGCACACAGAAATAAATTACAAAGCATTTAATCTTGGTTCCCATCCCACAAACCAAACCATTCTTTAAGAAAATTATAGCCCTATCGCCCTCTACTGGAACCAGGCTGCAAGATGCAGGGAAATAGAAGTTACTCTTTAGGGAATCTGCTCACACCTAAGTGGTGTCAATTGCTGCCAATATTCACATTTTAAAGCATAAACTTCGGTTGTTCAGAAAGGTAAGAGGAACACAGCTCCCTCTGTGTACCCAGGCTGACAGGTTAATGCTGAACAAACTGGTGTTGAAAACAGAGTCCACAGTCCTTCCCACATTCACTTCTAACCACTGATTGCCGGGACTAGTAACTGTTGCCTTTACTCAAAGCCCCAGCAATCACCTCTAGCACTTCTGTCCCACCTCCATTCCACAGACAATAGCTGCCTAAAACTTTCCCCTTTAGAAAGGTAAGAGGAACACAGCTCCCTCTGTGTACCCAGGCTGACAGGTTAATGCTGAACAACCTGGTGTTGAAAACAGAGTCCACAGTCCTTCCCACACTCACTTCTAACCACTGATTGCCGGGACCACTAATAACTGTTGCCATTACTCAAAGCCCCAGCAATCACCTCTAGCACTTCTGTCCCACCTCCATTCCACAGACAATAGCTGCCTAAAACTTTCCCCTTTTCCATTCATCTCCCCACCAAACCTACTCTGCTTCATCCCAAAAAGTATCAACTTACTCTTGGAGGCTACAGTAGGGCTGGACACAGTGAATGCCAACCCTTCCATTTGAGCAAAGTAGACCACTTTGTGACCTCAGATGGAGCGTGCCAAAGGCCGAACCTTCAGTTTAGCTTAAATGTCACCCTATCAATACCGCAAAGCAGCGGCATCCAAATGATTTGATAATGCACCCAAATCAGAAAAAAATATAATGCACCAATAAATGTATTATTTATTTATAAATTATATAAGTGTACAATTGTACAGTGTATTATGTACATTATAAAACACACAAAAATAGAAATTTAAAAGGATGAGATTAAATACAAATAATCATTTCAATACTTTCCCAATGGATTTATCATCTGCATACCCCTGGGATGTACACACCCCACCTGAAACCACAGCCCCAAAGCATGCCAGTGATTGCTGTTATTTGAGTTTTTAGCTCAAATTACAGAAAAGTGTTTAAGATCACATTTTTTTTTAAAGTTTTGCAAAATAACCCTAACATCAAGTTTAAATGTGTGAAGATGCTTGGTGCTAACTTCTTTAAACATACATGTACTAATCACTACACGGCTGGTAATATGTCATGTTATTTGGTTGACTGATAGTTGCTTCACTTTAAGGAAGACTACCACAGATGATTTCATGGAGTTGAGTCAGAATATTGGGGAAAAAATAAAGAAACACTGAAGAAAAAAAAAAAAAAAGCCAACAAATTAAATAGCCCCTAAAAATAAATAAATTAATAACTCCTTCGTCTGCAGTGGAAAGACTTTTTTAAAAAAAGGCATTCCCAACAATGGCCATTAGCCAAGGCAAATGGATGCAGATAGACTGCCACACAACTGTCTGACCTAATACCAGCAAGTTCTTGATTTTTATAGCCCCAGTATCCAATCACAGCCAGGTACACAGAAACTCAGTAAAAATGTGATGAGTGACAGCCCTTCAAAAAATATGTAAGATGCTGAATTACATTTGAAGAATTGTTACTAAAGAACATTCCAGCACATGGTTTTGATTGACTGACACAAATAACTAAATAAACGTTGCGATCAAGAATAACGCAGGGAGCCTCACTACATTCCCCACCACCTCCCTTCCCACTGCCACGTCAGCTGTTGGGCATCCACGCCCCTCTGCTTCCACCCAGGGCCTGAGCTTCCTGCCACGCAGTGGAACAGTACAGCTGACAGGCCCCTTTCTCTACCGCCTCAGTGCAAGCTGGGAGAAGTAGAGCAGGGCACAGGTTATTGTTCTATACAGAGAACCTAATTCGATGTGCTCCTTAATCTTTAAAAAACATTCACGCAAATTTTTAAAAAGTTAAAAAGGACATGAACACCTGACTGACTTTGAGATTGAAATACCCACACAGAAAATACCTTGGGGCCTCCAATTAAGTTTTATAAAGCTAAAATTCACAATTGCTAACTTTTAATTATGGTAACTAAGTCTCCTCATGGAAGGCTGTATTTTGTTTTAATAGTACCTTACACCAATTTAAAGACAAAAAATATTACACAATTTAAATAAACTTATTTCATAAATAACCAGTTTCACTTTATATGCACAAATACCATATGTTTTCATCTATTCTGTTGACAAAATGTCAGTTTCTTGATAGGAAGAAAACAAACTTCAGTTGATGAATTTCCATTAGATTAAATGTAAACAAGGGTAAATTATCAATCTTATTCTGGAGACAGACGGGATGTGGAGCTCAGCGACTTGCTGGCTAGACGAGAACCATAAACTGAAGGCTCAATCCTTTCACTACTGCAACATTGAAAGAGGTTGCCTAAAACACTCATTACAGAAAAGTTTATTTTATTTGGTTGGGAAGCAGATACACATCACACAAAGAGCAAAGGAAAACAGATTGGTGAAATTTTCTAAAGTTGAACTGATGATTTTTTTTTTAAGCACTGTGGTGAGTTATTAGATTGTGAAATCATCCTCTTCAGAGTCTCAAAACCAGAAAGAAGCCAGTTGGTTTTTGTAAAGCCTTTTTAAGGCAAAATAACCACTAAAAAATAAATACTTGTCTTTTAAAATACCTTTCAAGAAAACTAGGAAATGCGCGTATTACACATTGTTGTTTTGTTTGCTCAGTTTCCTTGACTTTATGCCACACAAGTGTTTTCTCTCACCTCTTCTTTTACGTGATACAAGCCAGATCACTCCCTGCCACCACACTTAGGTGACCAGCAGCTGCCTCAACCAACACTGGAGCTTCACAGCAAGGCCTGATTTTAAAATTAAACCTACCCTCTCAAATGTAACATGAAACAAAACAAACCCTCAGTGGCACCACCCCTGCCTGTCAAGGAAAGATCTCACTAAACTGGTGATCAAGTTCCAATGAAAACAATGCTTTGACCATTTGATAGGAAATATTAAATCCTAAATTTAAAGCCAAAAAACCATTCATGTTTTTGGTAACTTTCAAATTTTATTTCCAACTACTGCAGTAACAAAATACCAGTGGTAATTCTGCATGGAAAGTGGCAACCTTTTTTGTAAAGTAAACAAGGTTACAAATAGTATTCCAACAGTACTTTGGCCTATGGAGATTTTGATAGAAGAGGATTATTACAATCAGTCTTATAATATTACAGACTTACGCTTCTTCCTTATCTAGTAATAAAAATATACACCTTTCCTCAATGATTCATCATGTACACATTTCTACTCTTTATAAGCACTATCCTTCCAGTTGTACTATGAGGAGAAACCCCTCTCACTCATAGGTTTTTCAATAGTGTACAGAAATAGCAGTCACTTCAGCAGTAATGTACAATATTAAATTTTTAGTTGAAAAATAAAATAATGGATTACCCTATTAATGTCCTTTCTCTGGGAGTAAAAAGACACACACCATTACAAACGTAAAACAAGTCAAACTTCTATTTTATTAACAGAAGTCCAAAATGAATACAAAAAATGCCTCCTCTGCATGTTATATTTCCCTTAAAAGGATTCTGATAGAGTCAGGCAGATTAAAAGCTAAGATATAGTTCAGCTTTTACAGTGAACCTTTTTAAAAAGGTTTAATTACATAAGCCATCAACATCAGACAACGTATGGTCCCACGATCCCTTTTAGACCTATAGTTTATCAAAAGAATTATCCTGCATTGGTCTGATAAAATAAAGGCTTAAAATTGTTTTAAGTCATTAAAAGCCATTTTTATAATCTGTTTGAAAAGTCTGGGCAATTAAGAAAAGGAAAATCCCAAAACGTAGCCCTCTAACTTATGTGGAATGTGAGAGAATGCCAAATTATGACCAATAAAGGTAAAAATAAAAGGTTTAAAGCTTTGAATGGAGATGTTATAAATAATCTTATATCACTGCAAAATGTCAATAAATGAATAATAGAGCTTACTGCAACATTAAAAACTTGAGCAGATGTTACTTAAAACATTTGTGGTGTGTATCATACTTTAATATTTACTAAAACTAAAGCTGAACAAAGAAAACTGCTCACTTATAGACTGTTTTTCATGTACCTTTACTTTTATGGGACCATAAATTGATCAGATAATACATAGCCCACACTTCTGAACAGTTATAATAACAAAGGATTTATTATCACTTGCAGATGAAATAAATGCACCATCCCTTACTTGAAAGGCGTTAATAAGCCTGAAGTATTTTTCAGATTGTACCAAGGCACCACCACTGCCTAGTTAATATGCACCCATTTCTAGTAAAGAAACTAACGCCTCTCCCATCATCAGTTCTGTACTGTTCCTGGTTTATTACACATTCCAAAACAGCAAACGTTCCCAACACTGCAGTCCATTCATGGTACTGCTTAGTCGTCGTCTTCCTCTTCCTCCTCTTCTTCCTCAAAGCTGTCTTCAAAGCCCTCACTGTCCTCCTGGTCTTCATCCCCCTCTATTGCTGTGTCCCACTGTGGGTGATTTTCTGGCACAGGCTTAGCCTCATGAACTTCCAACTATAAAGGAAATTTTGGAAGGAATAATAGAAGAAACATCTGGTAAAGAGAAGGTTTTCTTTGACCACTGCAATTATAAAGAAATGAATTTTTATGGATGGAAACCTAAATTTATCATTCATTTAGAACAGACACCATCCCAGAAGTAAAACAAGTAAATCTATTAACATATAAATGTAGTTAAATTTCTAATACAGTTTGATATTTTGATTTTATAGAAGTTATACTATTTATGAATGTATTTCTGTGGCACAGAAGATGAATAATTATAATTCTTGAGCAAGAACACTGAGTGACATCTTAATAGAAGCCTTCCACTGAAGGAAGAAAAACTCAAGTGTGACTTTCTAAGACATACTTTGTGGCCTCCAGACCTGTAATGTAACATTCTACAGCCAATGAAAGAAATATGGAATGATCACTGAAAAGAGAGGCTCCCTTTACTATTTACAGTGCAAGAGTACTTTAGCATGATCTCTCTAATATAACAGAACGTCTTTTATAAAAAGCTCAAGTGAAGTGGTAAATACCAATGGGAATGTGCTTCAAATGATACTTACAGAAAGTGTATGCTCTAAGATGATAAACAGAATAAATTAGTTTCAAACATTAATAAACATTCCAATAGAATCTGTGGTAAAAATTTATGTGCTTTCCTTAAGAAAACAGGACCCATTTGCTGAAGCCCTATAAAGTTATAGCATATAGAGTACTTTAGCATGATCTCTCTAATATAACAGAACGTCTTTTATAAAAAGCTCAAGTGAAATGGTAAATACCAATGGGAATGTGCTTCAAATGATACTTACAGAAAGTGTATGCTCTAAGATGATAAACAGAATAAATTAGTTGCAAACATTAATAAACATTCCAATAGAATCTGTGGTAAAAATTTATGTGCTTTTCTTAAGAAAACAGGACCCATTTGCTGAAGCCCTATAAAGTTATAGCATACGGAGAAGGACCTTGTTCTTAAGTGATATACGTTATGTACTTAGGAGTGCAATATCATGATATGTGCAAGCATCTCAAATGTTCAGAGGGAAAAAAATACACACACAATGTGTATGTTTTGTGTGTGTATACATACAGTGAGATAAAGATAAAACAAATACAGCAAAATGTAAACAACTGGTAAATGTAAATGAAGAGTCTATGGAGGTCTCATGATGCTGTGCTTGCAACTTTTCTACCGGTTTTAAACTTACTAGGATAAAAGATCAGAAGAAAAAATAACACTGAGATGCAATTTTTCACCTTCTTGATAAGCAATGACATTCAAAATGTCTGATATGCTCAGGAGCAATAGGCATACTTAGGCATTCATTCTTCCTATGTAGAAATAAATATCTAGCAACATCTATTGAAATTAGAAATGTACAGAGCCCCTGACTTATCAATTCTATCTCTATGGATTTATCACTGAACTATTTCATACATTTACCACTTGATCATATAAGTTAAAAAAATTTCATACTAAAAATCATAAAACTATCTTGAAATTCAAAAGCCTCACTTTTGTCCACCAAGTCCCGGTAGACAGAACCTTCTTCCTAGAAAAGGTAACACATTAAAAAATCTAGAAGAAAAACAAGAAAACAGAAGGCAGTTCCCAGGGTAAAATATATCCATCACAATGCTACTTTAGTCATGTCATTTAATAGTGGACAAAAGTTCCATTCTAAAAATCTAAATCACCAATTCTTAAGACTTTTTTTTAAAGACAAAAGGTATAATAAATAGCACTAATTCAACAAGGACAAAAATCATAAATTTTTATAAAATATCATTAAATTCTGTAGAGGAGGAGAAAAGGCATATGTTCTTAGATAGTAATCGTGAAAAGCCCCAAGGATACATTGAGAACAAGTTCTTAAGACTGACCAAACTGCCTACCGTTTAGCAATTCTTTATAAATTTCCAATGTGCTCACCACCAAAAACATCAGAAAACAGTTATAAAATGTCATAAAAAGAGAAAGACCAATATGATAAACTGCTTCTTAAATAAGATTTTTGTGAAGCAGCACAATGATGAGATGCTATACATTGTTAAAAACTGAAATAATGTTGCAGGATAATTACCTCTTCTATATCTTTCAGTGTACACACATGATATGGCATAGATATTAAGGTCTGTTCCTTCCTATCTGCTATATAAAGCCACCACCATTCTTGTTTTTCCTGGAAAGAAAAAAAAATAAAGTATAAACAATCAGAAAAAAACTAGAAAAACACAGTTTGGGCCTGTTTTATTTTAGAGATACTATCCTTGTTTTGTTCATTGCTATATCCACCACCACCATTCTTGTTTTTCCTGGAAAGAAAAAAAAATAAAGTATAAACAATCAGAAAAAACTAGAAAAACACAGTTTGGGCCTGTTTTATTTTAGAGATACTATCCTTGTTTTGTTCATTGCTATATCCACAGCACTGACCAAGGGCCTGATACAAAACAGGTGTTCAATAATTACTTAATGAATAAATTGTTCTAAGCCATTTGTAGATCCGCTCCCCAAAAGAATGTGTATGCAATTTGGGGGTTTTCAATGCCTTCTTAAAGCCTAATGATGGACCTCCATATTAAAAACCCCTGATTTACCTTAAATGAGAAGAGATTCTAAAATGAAAACAATATAAACTATTACAATATCATGTTACATATAATCTTAGGAACCTTACCTAGTAATAAGCAAAAGCCACAAAGAAGGAGTGGAAAGGACTTGGGCGGCCAAATAAAAAAATCAACACATTAAAATACATTACACCCTTATAAGCACAAGAACATCTCAAATTCTAAGAGCCTATTTACACCTTTCACTACACGTGAGTTTAGTAAGTTTGGCATTTCTAGTTGAACTCCAAAAAGATTAGGAACAGAAAAAGCACTGGGTACAATGACAACAGGGAGAAATGACAGAACAAGAGACAGAAAACTATTTTCAAAAAAATTTAGAAGGCTAAGAAGTCTTGAAGCACCAAACCTCAGTGTATTTAGCAACCATCACTGTATTACAGCATACATCAGTAACTGTTTAGTCATCTGCTTAGTGTAACCTGTTCAAGAATTGGGTAGGGAAGATCTTTCCAAAATGGTTTAAAGGAAAGTGTTTTAGAGGTAAAAATAAAATAAAATCTAGGATGTTCTAAATATTCATTTAATCAAAACAGCACTAGACTATTGTAAACTCTCAACAATCAAAAATGGCTACAAAAACAACTTTGTTATGGCTAAAAATAACTTTATGTTAAAAAAAGTTTGTGTTTTTAAACCAAAATTGCTGTACTTTCTATTTTTTAACCAGATAAGATTAAAATTTGGTTTATTATATCTTTCTAACAATGCTACACTAAGTTCAACTAAAAAAAAATACTTCTCTTTAAATATCTTATGCTACAAAGGACTGCAACATTCTAAGAAAGTAAATGAATGTTTCGCTTATTAACTAAGCATGGTCTAAGATGAAACTGACATGCATACAAATAATGCAGCTTACAGCATCCCATGGCACTTTTTAAACCAAACAGTAAGTGGAGTTTATTCACTTGATTTCAGGATACTTGGTATTGGCAGATTACCTCTGCAATAGGCAAAATGCCCCTAACAGACAGACAGGACCTGTCAGAAGATCGGTGTACGCATTAAGATGAAACCCTGGACAAAAACTTCTAAGAAACAACAACAATCTGTGCAAAGCCACTCATTTATTACTAGGAGAGTCAAATTACTTAGGAATTTGCCTTAAGCAGTCCCTAGCAACTCTGGAATGACGTTCTCGAGCAGAAAGCAGATTTACACATGAAACCACTTGCCAAACATGAGTGGTGAGCACGAGGTTCTGTGGCAAAGTTGTGAGGCAGTCTGTGGAACAGATTCCCTAAACTGGGGGGAACCAGTTCTTCATCTCTACTCCACATCCCAAAGTGATTTCAAAGACAAACAACATCAGCTAACAAGGAAATCAAAAGCTGAGCAGGTCACAACCACAAAGTAAAGAAGGACGAGGGGGCAGATATCATATAATGATCTGTCCTGAGCTTGGGGCTCCGTCATGCTCAGCTCTTGCTGAACTTTAAGGCCAAGAACACAGCTGTTTCCACAGCCATGAGCTCACCCATTCCCAAAGACTGGGGCAATTACTGGGGCCAAAGCAAGTTAGTGGCTCCAGGTGGCCAGTATATGACCTTCGCAGGAAAAATCTAAGAATTTTTTCATCCTATTTAAAACTTGGCAGGGGTGAGAAATTCACAATTAGTCAAGCAGTCAAAGGCGAAATGTGCATTTGTCTGAACTGCTAAAGAGAAATTACCATTAAACACAATGCTCAGTAATCTGAGCACAGAAAAGATCGAAACACAGAAATACTTAAAAAGTTAACAATCCCCCTTTTAAACAACACATCCACAAGATGTAATTCGTACTGTAATATATCTTTTGAAAATGTGGCCTATCAAGAATAGACCACATTGAGCATATTTCAGCTAGTAAACAGCACAGAGGGATAAAAGTCACCCTAGAAATATCTGAGAACAAAGTGAATAGAATATGGAAAACACTAAGCTGTGTATAACTCACCTCAGGAAAGTAAAGACTATACACAGGATGTGTTATCTTTGATTTGGTTTCCAACAGAGCTCTCTCCTTTCGCTGTATACTTTGTTGTAATTCTTGCCATTCCTAGTAAAGAAAAAGTTAAAATATTTGAAATCTCGTACATTTCTGATCACTTTGAGGAGTGTCCAGCAATGCTAATTAACTACTTAGGGTTAGAAAAGTTCAGTACCACAAATCTGATCATCTCCCTGCTCAAAGTTACGATGCCTCTTTTTATAAATCACATCTAAACTCCTTTAGCATGACCTGCACAGCCATTTGTAATCTGACTCTGGCCTATGTCTCCAGTCTCCTGTCACTACTTTCCTCCTTATGCTTTTTATTTTGGTCATTTCAAACTACCTATCTCTGAACTCACCAAACTATTTCCTTCCTCTTAAACCCTGTTTGGATTTTTTATTACACTTTCTCTGCCTACCCATTATTACCAGGGAGAGCCTAAAGTATGAACTCCTGAGTAAAGATTGCCACAAATTTCCCTCTAGCTCTGGACTGAGTCAACCACTCTCTCCTTTGTGCCACCACTGCACTTTGCACAAAATGTACAGAATCTCACAGGTACTGTGATGTTTATTTATAAATCTGCTTGCCCCACTATACTACATATTAAAGGCAAATACTGTTTCACATTTAGCTTTGTACTCCTATCATCTAAGACAGTGCTTGAAATGTGACTGATAATGAATACTTTCTTGCTGATTGAATGAATGTATTTTTGGTCATATGAAGAAACTAGTCTGTGAAAACCCTAAGAGTCACCTCTATTAACCCTCATATACTCAAAAAGGAATATGTCAACCCTTTTTCAAAGTGAGGCTAGGGAAATAACTTCCGTGACAGATTTTAATTTCCTGGCAATCAATTTAATTCTCAAAGTACAAAAACAGTCAAGGCCCAGCAATAGCTAAAAACAGTCATCCTTATTTGTTTTCCACCATTCTGAAGGACAAGTGCATTATTTCCTTATACTTTTAACCTTTGCCCTCTTATCTCTTCCTCTTTGGCCTCTCCTTTTGCCTCAGAGGCTAAGGCTGGGATCCCCTTTTCTCTCCCAAACCACAAAGGTTACCTTTAGATCAACGGCCCAGTCAAAAAATAACAACAACAAACATAAAGGAACAGCTGATCAGCTTACAGTTCATTTGCAGTGAGCCTCTAAGGACCATTATTTGTCCACCAAACACATTCTTCTCTATGGTCCTCCCATAAATCACGTGCATCTTAATTCCATGGGATTATTTTTTCTTTAATCTCTATATCCTTATCATCTTAATAAATTACTTAAAGACTCCCCCTGTTCTTAACATCTTACAGATCCTATGAAACAAGGTGGCATTCTATAAACATTAGCTTTTCCCTAATCAGCCTCTTGACAGCAGGGTACACAGTAATGTTTCTTTAAACATTACCTAGAGCCTGTGAGAGAGCCTTCCAAGTAACTGCTACCTGTTTCACAGCCCACCTTTCCTTACTTGTATTTCCAGAGACCAAACTGACTTTACCACAGACCCAGCTCCTACTCTACGTAGCAATTTAAGATTTAAGAAAATTAGGGTTTCCAGTCTTTGTTAGAAACAATTTTTCTTTATAACCCTGACCACCATTCCTCAAAAATATTCTTACAAAATAATGAAATTATAAAATATATGGGTTTAAGGCAAGCAAACAACAAAACCCAAAACAATCATCAAAGGCATAATTCCAATTATTTAAACCTATTAGTCTTACTGCTTCATCATCTTTGTTTTGTTTTTCGTCTTGCTCCCTATCAGATTCTCTGTCACTACCATCATCTTTTTCACTTTGGGAATCTCTATTGGTTTCTTCTTCTTCAGAATCACTGCCTTTGTCAGAAATTTCTTCTTCATCTTCCTTTATTGCAGCTTCCTAAAAGGAAAAAGCAAGCACAAAAGTTCTGAATATCCCAATGAATATATATCATTGAGTCCCTGAAGCTAACTTATTGTCAGAATAACTAAACTGGCTCAAGATTACAATCTCACTATTCATACAGAATTTCAGAAAATGATAAACACTCTTATTTATAAAGATGTGGGAGTCAGACTGAAGACTCACATTTGGCTTATTTGTGTTTTGCTAGTTATTTTATTTGTTCTTCATAATTTGTAAAACAAAAATATTTTATTTCTACTTGCAAAATACACTACCACAATGACTAAGGTGGCTCAGCTTTCAAAAGCATCAATTATACAATATGTTTTATTTGAGGAGGGAAAATGGACAGCTTATAGAAAAGTACTGCTTTGGGAGTTTTAGGATCATTTTCTATAACTGACAGGGTATGATGGAGTAAGGAAAGCCAATATCCCAGACAAAATATTTACTAGTCCATTTCAAGAAGTAAGCAAAAGAACAGCAAATTAAATGTGAAGAAAGTAAATAATAGTAAATCAAGAAAAGAGAAATCAGATTTACAAAAGAGATCACTCAAAACCAAAAGTTGGTTGTTTGAAAAGATTAATAAAATTAAACCTCTAGGCAAGAAAGTCCAAGAAAATAAAAATTATCAATATTAGGAAAAAAAGAGACATAACTAAATCCAATAGATATTAAAAGGATATTATGAATAACTTTATGCCAATAAATGTAATAACTTAGAGGAATTGGACAAATACCCTGAAAAACACAATGCACTAGTAAAACCACTATAAGAAAAAATACAGAACATATGTTAAAGTGACAGACTCCACAACTAAACCCCTTTTAAAAACTCCGGGACCAGATGGCTTCTCTAGAGGATTCTTCCACATAAGAAAGAATCCCAAGCTTACCCAAGAAACAAAGTCTTTCAGGAAAAAGAAAGAGAAAACACTTCCTAACTTGGTTAATGAGACCAGGATAAACCTGATACAAAATCTGACAAGAATATTACAAGACAGGAGAATGACAAACCAATATTCTATCATAAAAATAGATACAGGAATCTAAGTAAAATATTATCAAATCCAGATAAATATAAAAAAGGATATTATGTTATGACCAAATGAGATTTGTTCTAGGAATTCAAGAATGGTTTCAAATTTTTAAGTCCATCAATATAATTCACCACATTATGAAAGAAGAAAAATAAAATGATTACCTGAACAGATACAGAAACAGCATTTAATAAAATTCATGATCAGCTCATGATAAAAATTCTCAGCAAACTGGGAATAGAAGGGAACACTTCCTGAGCCTGATAAAGAATATCTACAAAAACCCTACAGCTAACATCATAGTGGTGAAATATTGTTTGCTTTCTTCCTAAGATCAAAAAGAAGAGAAGAGTTTCCACCATCATGACTTCTAATCAATATTACACTGGAAATTCTAGCCAGCACAGTAAGACAGTGAGGAAGGATAAAAGAAAGGGCACGAAGAGTAAAAAGAAAAAAAAAAAACTTTTTATTCACATGTGGCATTATTGCATGTGCTGAAAAATCTTTATTTAAATATCTACAAATGTCTATAATTATTATCAATTCATTAACATTCCTTGATACAGTGTCAATATTTAGAAAGCAACTATGTACATACCAGCAACAAACATTAAAAAATTATATTTTTAAATGTCATTTTCAATAACACCAGAAATCAAATACGTAACAGTAAATCTCATGAAACATGTGCCATACCTCTGCCACTTAAAATTACAAAACTTTGCCGAGAAAAATCAAGGAAGGTCCAAATTAATATAGGTAAACCATGATCATGAATAAAAAGACTTGCTAGCAAGTCAATTCTCCCCATATGAAACCATAGGTTCAATGCAATACCAATCTAAATTCGAGCAGCTTTTTTTGGTGAAAATTGTCAAGCTTATTCTAAAAATTTAGCTGGAATTGCAAAGGACCTAAAATAGTTAAGACAATTCTAAATTAGTAAAATAAAAATTGGAGGACTTACACTACCATATTTCAAGACTTAACATAAAGTTTTAACAACACAGTACGATATTGGCACAACAATAGACAATAATCAATGGAATGGACTAGGGAGTCCGTAAACAGACCTACACATGATATACAGTACAGTCACCTGTTTTACGATAAATTACCATTTACAATTCAGTGAAAAAAGGGTGATCTTTTCAATAAATGGTACTGAAATGAGTGGTCCATATCCCCTACCTTGCACCATTCATGAAAATTAATTCGAGATAGATCTTGGAGCTAAATACAACAAGTAAAGTAACATTTCTAGATATCCCCTACCTTGCACCATTCATGAAAATTAATTCGAGATAGATCTTGGAGCTAAATACAAGTAAAGTAACATTTCTAGAAAAAAAAAACAGAAAAATACTTCCATGTCCCTGGGGTAGGCAGAGATATCTTAAACAGGACACAAAAGCACCAACCACAAAGGAAAAGACTGATGAAATGGACTTCATTAAAATTAAAAAACATCAAAAGCTACCATTAAGACAGTAAAAAAGTAAGGACTCGTATTCATAATATATAAAGGCCCCCTACAAATCAGTAAGAAGACAAACAACCCAACAGAAAAAGAGAATAAACAATGGACAGTAAGCATATGAAAAGGTACTTGACATCATTAGTTATCAGGTACATACAAATAAAAACCACACAAAGAGATACTACTATAGATCTACCAAATGGCTAAAATAAAAGACTGGTAAAACTAAATATTGGTGAGAATGAAGAACTGTACTCTCATACTTTGCTGGTAGGAGCATAAAATGATACAACTTTGGAAAAAAGACTCTTTTGATGAGTTAAACATACACCTATTTTGTGACCCAGCAATTCCACTGCTAGGCTGGAAAATGAATGTCCACAAAATGCCATGTACAAAAATAAATACAGCACCTTTATTTATATTAGATAAAAGCTACAAACAACCCAAATGTCCAAGAACCAAAGAACAGATATAGAAATTGTGGTATATTCACTCAATGATATACTACACACACACACAGAGGATGGACTACTGCTACAAATAATGTACATGAATGTCATGGATATAATGTTGAACAAAAGCCACCAGACATAAAATAATTCCACTTACATGAAGTTTACGAACAGGCAAAACTAATCCATGGTGATTACAGTCAGAACAATGGGGGATAAGGAGTCAAAAGGAGGATGGAGGGGTCACTGATTGAGAAGGAGCACAAGGGAGCCTTCTAGGGCACTAGTAAGGCTTTTTATCATATCTGGGTATCATGGGTACCTACAGGTGTAAAACTTAAAGGGCTGTGCATATATAAGACTTGGACATTTTAATGTACACCTCAATATTTATAACAATGATGATAATAAACTTACACTCCCAACAACTCCATTTGCCTGCTTCTGTTTCTGTTGTTTTGACTGTGATAATGGCACAGGTGTAGGTTTTTTTTTTAAAGGTTTCTTTTTTTTTGATTTAGCCGTCTTCTTGGGTCCTTTACTCTTCTGTTGCCATCCACCTTTCATCCTGTTCTTGTTAGTATCACTCTGCTGTAAATCACAACACACATCATGCTCAGTAAATTACAGCAATAGGTTCATTTGGAAGTCATAGCAAATTTTTACGTAAAAACGGCTAAAAGGAATGTTTTCATAAGCCGAATTATTCTCCCATAGCTATATAAGTCAACCACAGAAATAAATTAAACATTTTTTTCACCAGGCAAGATAGGTTAAGAAAACTCAAGTTTTTACCCCATCTTCTGCTGGCTGTTCCTCTGCAGCACAGATAGACTGTTCCTTTTCAAATACTTCCTAGGAGTAGCAAGAACAAAAATATAAAATCTGTGAACCTATATTTATATTTCAGATAAACAAAGCAATCTTCCAAAATGTATTACCAGTAAGTTTTTTTTAGCCAGCTACAATTGAGAGAGAGAAAGGAGACTTTCAGCAAATATTAGCTCAAGAATACATGCATTTTGCAGGTAGTTACCTTCTGAAGTATCTCACGTGTCTTGAATATATTTTGAAAAATACAGTCTACTTAAATTTTACAAATCCAATGACTTAAGATATGTAAATTCACTATAAAGTAAAAAATATTTCATAGTTTAAAATTTCAACTTTTATTCTAATAGTAATCAAATATTAATATTTTAATGTTATGAAAATTTGAATATGTCATATTATTTTCTAACATTAAAATCTTCAGGAAACCAGTATTAATTTATTCATTATTGTCAGTGATGTTACTCATTGGATCTGTGACTAAGAAGTGGATCACCAAAAAAATCCACATATCCTGAAGTCATAGCCACCAACCATATAATCCATTTAGAGTCAATATGGAAGATATGTTTAGGATTTAAATCCCAGTAAGAACCCAGTAAGAATCTGTACTAGAAGATAACAACAAATGACATGGGCTGTGTTTAATAAATTCCCTGGAATTATTAGAGCTAGCATGTAAAAACAATCATCATTATCACGCTCTATACAACAGAAAGTCTAATTCAGGGGTCAGCAAACTATGGCCCACCACCTGCTTTTTACATAAAGTTTTATAGAACACAACTATGCCCACTGATGAGTTCAGTAGTTGCTACAAAGACTGTATGGCCTGTAAAACCTAAAATATCTACTATCTGGACCTTTACAGAAAAAGGTTGCCATTCCTTAATCTAATTGTAGCATCACTTTCTCACTTCATTTATCAGCTGGGTTCTAATACTTGATTACTCTGAGGTACAGTTCATACGAGAATGGGAGTACAAATACTCTATTCTTTTCCCTACCCCGTGGTGGTTTTGCTTTTTCTTCTACCAATTACTCTAGAAATGTCAACAGCACAAGACTAATTTTTTGCTCATTTTTCAGGCTGAGAATTCTGAAGCATGGGGGTAGTATAACTTTGAATCTAAACCCAATTTTCCTCTTCTTCCAAGAAGCATCTCGTGTAGAGTCCATGACACAAATACTTCCTTACCACTTGCTACCATAAAACCAACAATGGGGGTAGTATAACTTTGAATCTAAACCCAATTTTCCTCTTCTTCCAAGAAGCATCTCGTCTAGAGTCCATGACACAAATACTTCCTTACCACTTGCTACCATAAAACCAACATCTTTGTTTTGATATTTCCTATTACAAAACAACCTTTTCCTACCAGTGATTTTAGACATGGGGTTTAAATGCGACATATATTTCCTATAGATCCTCAGAAACCTCAGAGCAGAATAGGCTAAAATCTACCACTAGTTGAATAAACTGGGTTGAAATATCACAGTCTATTAAAAACAGTGAGGCTGGCCAGTTAGCTCAGTTGGTTAGTTGTTACAATACCAAGGTCAAGGGTTCTGACAGGTCAGTTGCCAAAAACAAACCAGCAAACAACAAAAAATGAATTACAACTATACTAGCTGACTTGGAGGCTAATATAAATATGTCGTAGAAACTGAGAAAAACAAGATGTAGGAAATATTTATAATATGATAAGATTTAATGAAAAAGAATGACAAAAGTACCAGTATACATGTACGAGGGTACTTTTAAAAGTTCATAGAAAGATTCAATTATCTTTTAATTCTATTTTTCCACGAGCTTTTTGGAATGCACTGTAAAGGTCCAGATAATAAATATGAACACAGAGGAAGATATGAAAGGATACACACAAGACTAAAATTCTTGTCATCTGGGGCTGACAAGGGATTTTCTTCAGGGAGATGAGTGAGAGGAGGGATCTATGATAAAAACGACATTTAACTCCACAGGTATACAATGCATTAGGATATATAAAGGACTGAGCTTCAAAATTAATCACCTGAAAGCAGTGGGATTTTAGGTGATTTTAACTTCTTCCTATACCTTTATGCATTGCTTGAGTTTTTTTTCCAGATAGCAAGAATTTTTCACATTATCAGAAAAAAAAAAGTCTTCATTGTAATTTTTAAATTTAAAAAAATAAAAGGGAGTAAATTATCTAAAGGATTAAAAGGAGTAGGTGATGAAATTCTCAACGATCAATAATTAACATCTGTGATAATACTTTGCAGTTTGAGAACTATATCCACATTACTCTATTATTATAATGTTTTACAGAGAATTAACAAACCATAACGTGAAGGAATTAACATCTGTGATAATACTTTGCAGTTTGAGAACTATATCCACATTACTCTATTATTATGTTTTACAGAGAATTAACAAACCATAATGTGAAGAAATAATCTATTTTCCAAGTTTTCTTGGTGTATGTGAAATCTATATCTCATGAAAATTAATACAAAATTTCAAAACAGCTAACAGAACTTGCAAAACTAGATCCTGTCACAGCAGTTTTAACTTTTGAGAACGTACTACTTAAAATGAGAAAAATAAATATAAAAACCTTGACTCATAACTCTCAAACCATAAAAATACAAATAGACTACTTACTGCCATAGTTTGTCTTGTCAATTTAACCAACACTGTAACTAGGGATCCTACTGTGATGTTGTTACTATCTTCATCATCCAATACTGTAAGACATAAGGAAAAAAACAGAGCAAAAAAAATAAAAATCAAGCTCTGTGTCAATGCAAATAGCAAAACGTAACCTACTTAAATCAATTTCAGACCTCAGTATTTCAAGCATATGATATTTAAACTCGCCAAAAAATAATATATTGACTACACTGTTTAAGACTTTCCAGTAGATGCCTTCAACAACTGATTCATTTAATCCTTAAAATGGCCCTGAAAGGTGTTGTTGTTATTTCCACTTTAAAAAAGAAAATGAGTAACACCAAGGTCAGGGGTTTGGATCCCCACACCAGCCAGCCACCCAAAACAAAACAAAACAAAAAAACTGAGGTTCAGAAATAAAGCAAAATGCCCAAAGTCACACAAAAGCTGTATGAGCATTGCTTCAAACCCACATCTTTGAAAACATGGTACAATGTGAGGACTACAATAACAGCTCTTTCTCACAGTAATATAAAAATAGGATTCTGTCACTCTACTGAATTGTGCAAAGCTTATATTCACAAGATTATACCTGTATGATGAATGCATGTCATAACAAGATAATGAACACCGGTATTTTAAACCACATTAAAGAGACATTTTCTCAAAGGTAAGAACTTCAATATATTCTCTTTACTTTAAAAAGCACTTTTAAAAATACTTTGAAATAAATGGTACTAAATACAATAAACACTTCGCAATTATCTAATTTTCTAAAACCACATTTGCCACACACATCCCCCCAAAAATCTACTAATAAAAATAGGAAAGTTGGAGCTAGCCGGTTAGCTGAGTTGGCTAGAGCACGGTGTTGATAACAGCAAGGTCAAGAGTTCAAATCCCCAAAGTCAGCCACCAAAAAAAATAACAGTCAGCCACCAAAAAAAATAATAATAATTAATAAAATAAATAAAACTTAAAAATACAATTAGTGTAACTCATCAAACATACCTTCTATTCATGTGGACATTAATTCATTTTTTTCTACAGATTTTATCTGTAAAAGACCTCACTATATATTTTTGCATATAGTTTTTTTCTAAGTTTGTCATGTTTATTTTACACGGATTTAGATGAGCGCATGCTGTTCTAACCACTATTACCACACCACCAGCTGGAAAAGAATGGCCTCCAATAGCCTATAACTGCTATCTCCATTACTGGCTGCGAGTGCAGAAGCTGGACATCAATAAAGTTGACAACCTTTCTTCCCCCTAAAAGTCTCTGTATCAAAAAATCAAATCTGGGCCACATATTCATCTGTATTTTTCATTTTGCAAAATTGTATGGGCACTAATTTCACTGATTGTATGTGAAATAATAGCTATATAAATGTCTACCTGCTGTCTGATGCTTTAAAGTGAAGGAAAAGCCTGCAGGAGATTCTACACAGCCTACTCTGGTAATGTGGAGAAGGAGGATCCACCACCTCCAGCAGACATCGTATAGATACCCCTTTTCCTGCTTCTATAATTCTTATACTCTTCCTTCATTAACTATACCACTCACATTACCTATTTAGACAGCACTGTAAAAATATAAAATAATAAACTGCCCATACAAAACGTTACAGAGTGGAAGCACGTTACTGTTTCCCAGTGAGACAATATTCTTACCTTACTTCTTATAAGGAAATCTTTCACTACTCCTAAAAAATCTCTTTAATTCTTTGAAAAGTTAAAAAAAATTACTGAAAGCTGAACTACAGAATAAAGTCTCTTCAAGACTTAATCCTATTATGAGGATAATAAAAGTAGGACTCTATCAGTGTCTTCAAAACTATCAAGTATACATAATTTTCATCATAGTAAATCTGACAGGTAAACTACTGTTCTACAAAGTCTAATTACAAATTATATCACTAAATATAGTGTTTTGGGAATCATGAGTCAAATAATTAAGAACCAATGTATCAAAACGGAAGCAATGTTCGACAGAGAAATTTTCCACTTACCCTGTGATTTTATATCCATCGTTACATATGGAAAACTTCCAAGGACAGCCATAACCTCTTCATATTTTTCATCTTCAAGGAAGTGCAATAGACTATGTCGATCTGATTCTTTTAAACTCACCAAATCCTGGATAGTTTTAATTTTGTACTGAATTAAAAAAAAAAAAAAAAACACCCTAACTCATAAAACTTTTCATAAACAGAAAATTATTATTAGCATGTTGACTAAAACAAAATCCAGCAACTTTTAGAAAAATGTTATGATTATATGCATTTCAAAAAAGAAAATAAAGCTATATAACATTTCATTGCTTTTTCTTCATGAAAATTTAAATTAAGAATTTTTTTAATTATAAAGTTTAATAGACTTATTTTTTAAAATTAGAAAAAATACAATTAAAGGAAAAGAATATAATAACATTCATACAGAATCTTGACCCAAGTAAGAACTAATGTCAATTGGTGTCCTCAGCGTACTTTCAATTGAATAAAAATCTTTAATAATAAACCTGAAATAAACCTCCAAGTACAGCAGCCCACTCAAGGTTTACTATGCAATGTTCTCGTTTTTGTTGTTTTCTAAATATAGCCATTACTGCAGTGATATCCACCTTGGCTAAATGGTTATTAGGAGAGTGTTAATTTCCAGGTGTTTGATGCTATTATTTAATTTTTACTTTCACAGACAGGGAATCAGATTATAAGGCATGTAAAATTCTTGCTTTTAGATCCTGTGGTTTTTAATTATAACAACTTATGATCAAATTTATAAGGGTAACACAATTGCTTAAAAGGACAGAGAACTCAAATTTCTAATATACATTTATTAATTCTACCTTAATACAGTATGAAATCCAACATCTATCTTCTGCTCACTTCAGTTGTTTACAAAATAATGTTTAAAATCTCCTACAAGAATTACAATTTCATTCAGTTTCTTATATTTCCTCAAGTTTTTCATTTATACATATTTTTGCTATACCTCAAGATTTATTAACATGTCTTTACTATAATTACATTTTCTAAATAAGAATTGTCTTTATTTGATTTTATTTTTTTAATGCTTTTTTCTTGTTCAACCAATAAACCATTGCCCAACTTTTAAGCCAAGAATAAAATGACTGGAAAGTACACAGTACATAATTACTTGGTACATTCATTTTTGGTAACATAGAGAAAAAAGTGTTAACTGCTAAAATGCACTGACTCCCAAGAAGGTAGCAAAATTACTTACAGTAGTAGAATATTATAAAACAGCTGCCTAATTAGGAAAATGTCAACCGAACCACTTGAGAGTTTTAGAATGTTTAAGACATTCTAAATCTGAGAAATTCATAGTAACCATTTCTAGAAAACTTTTTATTCATGTTAAGTGACATGACAAGCTGCTGAAAACTGAGTTTAAAGTAGCAAATAATTACCTTTTTATGATTAGAAACCCTTCTAAGATTGTCCTCTTCAATGTGAGGGAGCTGCAAAAGGGGAGACTTGAACTGCTGAAGGCCTTGAACAGCCATCTGGGAAAGCTTCATGCAGTTTTCTAAGGATGCCAAAGTTGGAGCACGAAACTCCCTTTCTTAGAAAGAATAGGAAAAAAGGAAACAACAGGGCTGGACTTTTTACATATTCAGGAGTATACAATTCATCACAAAAACAAAATTCACACTAACATCCCTAATGCCTCAATTCTTTTTTTTTTTTTTTTTTTGTCTTTTTCCATGTCTTGCAGCACCTCCAATAACAAGTAAATTATCAAACATTACCAATATTGCAAACATACTGACATGTCAAGAAAACACATTACATGTCAGGTGAATCATAATTGCATCAGTTAAAAAATTATTTCAAACTCACTGTTAAAATGCAGAATAAACCATCTCCAAAAATATTAATAAAGAAAATTTTAAATCTTTGAAAAGCTAACAATAAAACAATGAAAAAAATTAAATTCAAGAACACAGTGAGTTGTGATAAAGACTTATGTAATAGAAAATACAGGAAAGAAATGAAAAAAATCATGAGCAGAATTGAGAAAGCTGATTGAACTGGCAGACAAAATTACAGTAAGTATCTATAAATCTTAAAGCTACGAAGTGTAATCTTCATATGCTTGCAAGAAAAAGTACAACAAAATTAATTACATTTCCTCCTCACCTTCACGGCTCCGGGCCATTATTATTAGTTGGCAGATTACATTAACCATTTCTTGAAGCAGGGCAGGGCATTTTTTCAACATAAATTGCTGATCTGCAAAACAATCAAAAACCTGAAACAAATCATTCTAATTTATAGTTAAAGCATCTTTATCACCTGTAGTCCAAGACTAATATTAAATTTAAGTTGTCTGACAAATATTTCACATGATCTCACAATTTTATAAGCTAAACGGAAGAGTTTCTCCTCAGCATCACTATGTCAAAACTCAGTCAAAAAAATCCAGCTTAGATTAGATGCTTCAAAGGCAAATTTTTCATATTATGGTATTAGGCTTAATAAATCAACTCCCTCTTTTATGCATGTGTGTGTGTGTGTGTGTGTGTGTGTGTGTGTATGTGTGTGTGTGAGAAACAGTCTTAATCTTAAATTTTAATCTTGCTTTATTTAGGAACTTTAAAATTTTTCTTCTTGTGCACTTAAGTTTCTACAGGTATAATTATGGACAAATACAAAGACTAAGAGAGTAATTGTCAACTAAATACGGGTAAAGAGATGAGAGAAAGAGGAGGAAAAGGAGGACAATAAGAGTGACAGAGAGACAGAGACAGACTCTTTTATACGGCGTATCATATTTAACTACTAAGACCATCCACCATGTTTGGTACTCAACCTAAAAAAATTTGTTCCCTGCTTCTTACTGGTAAAAATGGAGATGGTTATATATCTGTACAGAATATTAGCAAAAGAATTACTGGTTAACTTAATATTTCAAAGCAACTCTAATGTCAATGGCTAAACAGTGCTCCTTCATTCAATCATAAGCACAAATCCAATTACTGAGCATCAAGTAGCCTTGTTTTCAGAAGCATTTAATTGCATCATTGGCTTAAAGGAGGTGTGTGGGAAGGAGATGGTAAGAGTTTATTCAGAAAGAACATCTATTTCCTAAGGATAATAACCTTCTTTTCAAACTTCAATTGAAGTAACTCAGGTGAAGAAGAGATGACATTGAAATTAATGACATCCGTGGAAACACTGTTGTCCCAATCCATTGCTTTTCTTTTAGGCAGAATAGATGGCTTCAAGATAAAACAGACACTACTGGTAAGCACTGTTGCAGAGGGGTGGTAGACGATGGGAGTGGGGGTTTGGTAGTTAAGATATCTGCTGTGAAGTCCATTTTTCTCCCCCCAAAAGCTTAAGTCCTTTAAAAAACAGTCATTAGGAACTTTTGCATAATTTGCAATTAACTAAACGTTTGTCATACAGAGCACTCTCTCACCCTGAAATACTAAATTTTAACATTTGCCAAAACATCTGACTTAGACCTTCGAACTATCCGTGAAGTAATAATGTAGCATACAGATTTCTTTTAAAAAGGTCTTTGAGCAATTAATTATTTGATTGAGCAAAAAAGAACAGCGACAAAAACTCTGCACCATGAGGTCTAATTAAATCTGCTGTTTTGGTCCCATTAAAACCCTGTAGATATCAGAATCACAAATACCTTCTTCAAGGGTCTCAGGAATTTTCATTCTAGCAAGATGAGACAGTAAAAGAACTCTGGCCTTCAGGCTATATGGGCAGGTAAGTGGAGGCTCATTCTTCTTTAAATTAATGCTGCCAATTTCTCTGATTAACTAGAGTAAATAAAATAATTACTCAAAAACATAAACTCAAAAAAAGCATTCAACTTTAACACTTAACTGCTCATCAAGGAATCTGGGAATCTGACCTAACCTGCGGTATTAGAATATTATCCGTTGGTCTGCTTGTGGCATCTTTATTATACTGAGGATCAAATTCAGAAGCTCCAGCCAAAACCATGATGAGACCTAAGAAAACAAAAGAAATACAAAGGTAAATAAATTTGCTCACAAATTAATTTCCTCTCCTGAGATACTTCATTAATCCTAAAGTGGACACTTTTCTAATCAAGCATAATGCTAAAAATCATCTGAACTTAACTATTGACAAGCATTAATTTCTCCCACACAAAAAAGAGAAATGTCTCACTTTTAAAAACATGCACAATATTACCTATCACAAATGAATAGAAACGTGCACCAAATAAGGGCACCAAAGAAACTGGAAGCATTAAAATTACTTTAAATAGCATCTGTTTCTAGACCTAAGCATTTACTCTACAGAAACTTTCTATACAGCATTAGTACTCCCAGTGATGTTAATAACTGTTATGTGAGAAAAGGGGGCTCTGTGGTTAAATAAGGTTGGAAATAATGATTTAAACAAGAGTTAAAGGTTTCTTCACTGCATGACTTTTCAGAGCCTTGAGTAAACTAAAATACACTGTAATTTCCAGAAATTTTTATTATGAAACCCTGGAGCATTTGTTGAAATACACATGATTCATAGCCACATATATTAACATTACTCTTGTTAGCCTATACAAGCTCTTTAAGGACTGGCACTACAGTCATCAATCTTACCTTACAACAGAATATACAAATAATGTATTACATTACAATGTAACATATTAAGTTACAAAAAAAAATGTAATGTATTACATTACAAAAAACGTAATCACAAAAGGCAGAACAGTATAGAGGTTAAGTGCATAGACCCTGGAGTTTTGTCACTCCTAGATAAATGACCTACGGCAATATTCTTCACCTCACCCTCTGCACCTCAGTTTCTCCACATATGCCTGACACACAGAGAGCACAGTATATATTTGAGTACCTGAGGGTACTACTACTGACACCCTCAAATGCTTCCATGAAAACAACTGTTCCTAAGATAGCTAAACTAACCAAGGATATGTAAACAAATCCACCAGCTAAATAATGCTTTTCTGACAGACTTAATTGTATAAGGCTAAATACCAACCTCAGAAATGAAACAGAAATCAAGACCACTGAGGTGAAAAAGACACATTAAAACGTTATGAATATACAACATTTTTATAAAAGAATAAGGTTCTCTATTAACATTATGTCTGCATAAGGGAAAGTAATATTCACTCACTCAGAAATATAAGATCTACTCATACAGAGTGTATGACCTGGGGAGTCTCTTTCTCATTACCAAGAAAATTAGTAAAATTGGCAAATCCAAAATACATAAAAGTCCACTTCAGTTTCGAAACAAAAATGCATTCTCCAATGAGACAATTTAAAACATAATTTTTTTTTTTAAGGAGGTATGGAGGAATATTTATGATTTCCACAGAGCAGTCATTCTGAAAGGCAACACTATATATTCCAGGGATAAACTTTACAAAGTTAGCTTTATGGGACCAAAAAAGTTTTTAGGATGGTGCCTTTTTTTTCTTAAGAAATTTTTAAATAAGTCTCAGGGAATGAAATATTCTGGCAGTTTTCTTTCAACACATGCAAGACCTCTATTTCTACTATGATTAATGTAGTATAACATAGTGGTTTAGGTCTCAGGAACCAGATTGCCTGACTTTGATCCTGGATCGGTCACTACTGCGTATCCTTGAACATATTACTTAACTTTTCTGTGCCTCGGTCTCCTCATCTATATAAATGTACTTAAAAACAGCACTTAATATATGGGGGCATAGCAAAGATTAAATGAGTTAATACATGTATAGTCCCTAGCAGTGCCTGGCACACAACAAAAAATGTTAGCTAGTATTATTACAAAATTTGCACACATGAAGCTTTACCACAAAATTCCTGATGATATATATTTGAGTAAATGGAAACAATGGAAATACAGGTAAGAAATGTCATAAAAGGTGTCAGCATTTTCTTCCAGCTTTAGTTACATGAACTGATACCCACAAAACTGTAAAATGGAATTTCTGGGGCCGGCCCGGTGGCGCACTGATATAGTGCACTGCTTGGGAAGCGCTGTGGCGCTTCCGCCCGAGGGTTCAGATCCCACATACAGACCGGTTCCCGCTCACTGGCTGAGCGAGGCGCGGGAGCAACACCGAGGGTTGCGATCCCGTTGTCGGACACGGAAAAAGACAAAAAAAAAAAAAAAAAAAAAAAAAAAAA